CTCACCAATCGTTCATATCATTTGGAGAATGAAAAGTAAAGATTTGGGGTTAAAACTCACTTTAGAAGATTAAATCCTCTCCTGCGAGGTTGTGTTTTGCTCGGACGATTTGGAAGCCTTCCACAACTTCCGATTCCTGCCAAACCAGACCTTCACGGATTCCTCGTCTTGAGAGCTTTCTGTGGGTATCTCACACGCCTTAATTGGACTTGTAAAACTCGAGATATCGACCAAACAGTCCTCAGCACTCTCACAGCTCGAGTTCACCAGACCTTTGCCTCGTTCCAGCTCGATTTTTGCAAGATAATCCTTCTCTCCTCGAACAAAGACCACTCAATTGAGATAATAGACTTCAAAGGCTTATCCAAGGGACACCTCATACACGTTATTTGGTTGAGGATAGCTCCTATAATGAGAGGAGACAAACAGCACACCAATTTGTGCGAAAATAAGAGTGGTGGCCCCAAACTTTGATTCTTATCAAGTCATGTGCAGCTCTTCTCCATAATGGCCGGCCAAGGTAAGTCTCCTAACCCCATTTTTTATTTGTTTTGCAGGTACTAATACCATGTGGAGTGGTTCCCAATTGATCCCATTAAATTTGGGGTCCAAAATATCTACCAATACTTCCAAAAATGGGAAGATGGGTCCTATTGTTTTATCTTTGTCAAAGATGTCTTTTTGTACTCATCCTAATTTATTTAGAACAAGTCAACTTCCTAAATCACATTATTGATCTCCAATATGTGTAGGCTCATCCCAATAATTTACACGATGAAAATTACAAAAGAATGCGGGTTTGAACAATACAATATTCAATCATGTACTTCGTAAATATTAATCGTTTCTCCCATTGTTTTGCAATTGGAAAATTCAATACATCACTTTTGAATTTTAAATCGAATTTTCAAGGACGTTCGGGTGCGGTGTCACAAGGTTCACCCCCCCTTAACAGGAATTTCGTCCCCGAAATTCACAGCTCTACTCGAATAGGAAAGCATACTGCTTCCTCATCAAAGCCTCCGTTTCCCATGTCTCTTCCTCGACCCGATCGCTCTTCCACAGGACTTTAACCATTGGGACTTCTTTGCTCCTCAGCTTCTTCACCTTTCTATCGGTGACTTTGATAGGTTGAACAGCGTAGTTCAAATCCTCACGTACCTCTACAGGTGGCTTCTCTAGTACGTGAGAGGGATCATGCACATACTTCTTAAGCATGGATACATGAAACACATTATGTATCTTCTCTAACTCAGGAGTCAACTGTAGACGATATGCAACGGCCCCAATCCTCTCTATAATTCTGAATGGACCTATATATCGTGGGTTAAGTTTTCCTCGGGTTTGGAACCGAATGATCCCTTTCCAAGGAGAAACTTTCAAGAATACCTCGTCATCAACCTTAAACTCTAAGGTTCTTCGACGCTTATCTGCATAACTCTTTTGTCTATCCTGAGCCGCCTTGAGTCTCTCTCGAATCAACTTCACCTTTGATTTGGTGACCTCAACCAACTCAGTACCCTCGAGTTTGGCCATGCCAACCTCGTCCCCAGCATAACGGTGTACGGCACCTCCTCCCATACAATGCCTCGTATGGAGGCATGCCGATGCTTGCCTGATAACTGTTGTTATAGGCAAACTCCACAAGTGCTAAGTGGTTGTCCCAACTTCCCTGGAACTCCAATGCACAAGCCCTCAGCATGTCTTCTAGGATCTGAATAACCCTTTCAGACTGCCCATCCGTCTGTGGATGGAAAGCAGTGCTGAACTTCAACTTCGTTCCATAGACTCCTGGAATTTCGGCCAAAAACGTGATGTGAATCGTGGGTCTCTATCAGATACAATGGTCACCGGGACCCCATGCAGCCTCACGATCTCATCCGTATACAATTTGGCTAACCTCTCAAGTGGGTAGGTAGTGTTGATAGGCAAGAAGTGTGCACTCTTTGTGAGCCTATCCACAACGACCCAAACCAGCGTCATAGTTCCTGATAGTCCGTGGTAAGCCTACCACGAAATCCATAGTCACGTGCTCCCACTTCCATTCAGGGATGGAGAGTGGTTGCAATAAGCCTGCTGGGTGCTGATGTTCTGCCTTAACTTGTTGACAAGTAAGGCACCGACTGATGTACTCGGCTATTTCCCTCTTCATTCCAGACCACCAGTAACTTTCCTTCAAATCACGGTACATTTTCGTGCCCCCCGGGTGCATGGCATAAGCCGATGAATGAGCCTCCTCTAAGATGGACTTTCGGAGCTCATCATCTGACGGTACACACACTCGGTCACGAAATAACAAGAGACCATCATCTCTTTCCCTGAAATCCTCCACCGGCCCCGCTTGCATGCGTTCCCGGACCTTCATAAGTTCTTCGTCGGCTTCCTGACCCTTCTTGATCTCATCAAGTAAAGTGGGTCTCACCTCAAATCGTGCCCATAAGGCACCATCGCTGGTTACCTCCAGTTGGGCTCTTAATGCCCTCAAATTAGTTATCAATGCCCCAGACGAGCTCTTCCGGCTCAAAGCATCTGCCACCACGTTTGCCTTGCCTGGGTGATACTCTATCACCAGATGGTAGTCTTTTATCAGCTCCATCCACCGTCTCTGTCTCATGTTTAGCTCTTTCTGAGTAAACACGTACTTCAAGCTCTTGTGATCAGTGTATATGTGACATGTCTCCCCGTAGAGATAATGTCTCCATATCTTCAGTGCAAATACCACTGCCCCGAGCTCCAAATCATGAGTAGGATAATTCACCTCATGCTTCTTCAATTGTCGTGAAGCATAGGCGATTACCCTCCCATTCTGCATCAGTACACATCCGAGCCCTTGGATGCTCGCATCGCTATAGACATCGTACCCCACACCTTGTTTGGGTAATGCAAGTACCGGTGCCTCAGTCAATCTCTTCTTTAGTTCCATGAACCCTTTCTCACATTTGTCATCCCATACAAACTTAGCTCCTTTACGAGTGAGCTTCGTCAATGGCGATGCCAAAACAGAGAACTTTTCCACGAACTTTCTATAGTAGCCTGCCAATCCAAGGAAACTACGAATTTCCTTGACGTTCTTTGGCCTCTCCCATTCAGTGATGGCTCCTATCTTCTTGTTATCAACAGCAATCCCCGATCCCGAAACCACGTGCCCGAGGAAGCCAATCTCCTTTAGCCAAAATTCACATTTAGAAAATTTGGCATAGAGTTGCTTCTCCCGTAGTGTTTCAAGAACAAGTATCAAGTGCTCCTCATGCTCTTCTTCACTCTTTGAGTAAATCAAGATGTCATCTATGAACACAATCACGAATCGATCCAAGTATTTATGAAATACTCGGTTCATCAAGTCCATGAATGCCGCCGGGGCGTTTGTTAACCCAAACGACATAACAAGGAATTCAAAATGCCCATACCTTGTGCGGAAAGCACTCTTTGGTATGTCATCCTCCTTAATCTTCAATTGGTGGTACCCCGACCTCAAGTCAATCTTTGAAAATACGGTTGCTCCTCGTAGTTGATCAAATAAGTCATCAATCCTAGGCAAAGGATACCTATTCTTGATTGTGACCTTGTTCAGTTGACGATAGTCAATGCACATTCGAAGTGTCCCATCTTTCTTTTTCACAAAAAGAACCGGTGCTCCCCACGGGGAGTGGCTTGGTCTAATGAAACCGTTATCCAAAAGCTCTTGCAATTGGGTTTTCAACTCGTTAAGTTCAGCGGGTGCCATCCGGTATGGCGGTATGGAGATTGGTTTGGTACCAGGCTCGACCTCGATCACAAATTCAATCTCCCTGTCAGGTGGAAGCCCCGGTAGGTCTTTAGGGAAGACATCCGGATACTTACAAACCACCCTCACATCATCGATGTTCGTTCCCTCTTTGGTTTTGTCAACCACGTATGCTAGATATGCGTGGCATCCCTTCCTCATCATATTTCTCGCTCTCACGGCGGATATGATACAACTATTTGATTTGCCGCGGTCCCCCTCGAAGCGTAGGGTGTCCCCATGTGTGCCTTCGAGTTCCAACACCTTTGTGTAGCAATCTACCCTAGCATGATGCTTTTCTAGCCAATCCATCCCTAGGATTGCATCGAACTCCATCATACTCAGCGGTACGAAATCACACGTCAAGGTTTGGCCACCGATTTCCACCATACAAGATGGATAGTAATTGTTTCTTTCAACGTCTTCCCCTAGTGGGGTTGATACCACTAAGGTTTGTGTCATTGGTATTGATTGCATCTCTAAGCTCTCGGCAAACGCCTCACTCACGAATGAACGTTGCGCTCCGGTATCGATAAGGATTCGTGCATCCTTCCCGTTAATCTTTAGTGTCCCTACATTCATGAACCATGTAAGACATCTTTCCTATCCTCCCTACTCATTTATAGAAGGTTGCAATGTTCACACGCACGTTAGAGATCAAGAAGAGGCCTTAACGTCGCAAAACGGTGCGAAAAAACTCAGGTTTCGGCAATCTGGGTGCCAGGCACGGCGTGCCTGGGGTAGGCACGGTCGTGCCTGGCTTGGGAAAAAGCCCTGGGCGCTACTGCCTCCCAGGCACGACGCCAGGCACGGCGTGCCTGCGGCCGTGCCTGGCCCCAAAAATTTTTTTTTTTTTTCTTTCCTTCGGGTGCCACTGCCTTCCTGGCACGATTTCAGGCACGGCGTGCCTTCGGGCGTGCCTGGCCAGCAGTGGCTGTTTCCAGCCCGATTCGGCCTAACTCACCCAGTTTGACCCCGGGGTGGCCCGTACTCAATCCCAACGACGTATATGATCAAAATAAGCCTAGAAATGACCCGAATAAGTGTATTACCTGCGACGGAGTCGGGATTAGCCCGAGCATCAGCCTCGGTCATTGCGTAGACTCTAGCTTGCGTCCTTCCTTGATTCACGGACGGCGCGTTACTCGCGCTTGCTCCCCCTTGTCCTCTGCTTGCTTGAGAGGCCCCGGTCTGACTCCGTGTACCCGTCGGGCCACTGCTTGGTCCCGATGTCCTTGCCCCACCCAACTGGGGGCAATGCGCCTTCAAGTGTCCGGCATCCCCACATTGGAAACATCTAGGGGGGTCACGACATTTACCGGAGTGGTGTTTCTTGCAATTGTTGCAACGAGTTACCACTGAGGCTTGTGACCTCGAGCCTTGCCCACTCGGGCCTTGGTTCCCCCTAGATGGTGGCGGTGGTGCTCGGAAAGGTCCTCCCCCATGATTCCCCTTCTTGTTGGAACCTTGAGAGCCATGACTCTCCCACTTTCTCTTTTTCGCCTCTTCGGCGTCTTTCTTCTTCCTTTCTTCCCATTGTTTCTCTCCTTTCAACGCTTGGTCAACCACTTGGGCGAAAGTCATATTAGGCAATTGTGTTGCCCTATCACGTATCTCCAAGTCAAGAGCATCCCAAAAGTGGTTTACCATTCGGTTCTCGTCACAAGCATACTCCGGTATGTAGTCGGCGAGATCCCGGAACTTGTACTCAAGTTCCTTCACTGTCATGTTACCCCCTTGGGTTAGGAGGGTGTATTCCCTCACCTTCTTGTTTACTTCAAAATCAGAATAATATTGGGCAAAGAACTCCCGTTGGAAGTCCTCCCAAACGACGGTCTCACCGTACTTGCTCTTGGTTCCATCCCACCACTTGGATGCCATCCCCTCGAGCAATCTTACCGCAATTCTCAGTTTGAGATTCGGCGCGATTTGCATGTCAAGGGCTGCTTCATTTAGCCTCTTGATCCATTGTGCTGCAACTGAAATGTCCCCTGCCCCATCAAAGGGTTTGCACCCCAAGTCCCTTGCTTCTTTGATAAATTTGGAGATCCTTATGGTTGGACCTCCATCATTTCGGCCTCCATGTGGTTCCACATGGACTCTAGATGCACCATGACTTCCTCCTCTTGAAGCCATGCCCGAAGGTTGCCCCGCTCGGCGTCTTCGGCGTTGCCTCCTCTCTTCACGCTCCCTGTGGTATTGTTGGAGTAGTGCTTCGATCCGTGCTAAGGAGCCATTTTCCTCCTCATCACTTACATCGTCATCATCCCCTTCATAAGGGGTCTCAACCGGCTCTGTCTCCGGTTGGTAAGTCGAGTCCTCATAGGACCAGTAGGTCTCACTTTCCGTGTCAACATGACCGTCACTCACGGTCTGTGATCGGCCTCCACGGCCAGCTCCTCTAGATGCCCTAGAGGTCCTTCGACTGCCCTGTCCAGTCTCCACTGGTACACGGCCCGTCGGGTTTCTCCTAGTAATCCTGCCACCACGGTCCATTTCTGAAAGAAATTTGGAAAGAGTCGTTAGACTCGTATCAAATGTCAATTGACGGATAGGTACTTAAGACACATTTTGGCTCGAGTCACCGCCATACCAATTGCTAAGGGTACCATCTTAACAATTAGAGACCTTGCAACCCAAGTACCAAAAGCTCTCCAAGTACAAAACTTCTATGCTCATGGTTTTCAAAATCTTTTCAAAAAGAGAATTTTGAGACTTCATTATGAAGTTTATGGACTAAGGCTCTGATACCAACTTAATTGTCACGCCCCGGACCTCCCCGGACCCGTCGACAACCCGCCGTACAATACGAATAGTCAACCGCAGTCCAACACATTCGTATTATACAAGGCGTCATGAATATCATTCACACACAAGTCATCCATAAACAACATAATAAGTAATTCATAAAGCAGCGGAAAACATTGTTTAAAACAAAAGGGCCACACAGGGCTATTCATGAGCACGCAGGCTCTATAATAAAATATCCATGAGCATGTTTATTAATGTTTAAAATCCGAATGGAGGAAGCACGAACCAAGTCTTCGCCCCTAGATGATCTCTCGAGCAACGAGCACAGGAAGCAAGCTCTAGCCTCAACCTGAAAAATGGTGGTGGGACGCCCCCGAAGGGGTCAGCACTCTATACGGCTATAAAGTGCTGGTGTGGCAGGCATCTAATAGATATACAACAAGTATTTCAAACACAAGACCCTCAAATAGGGTGATAGTACATTATGATTGTAACCCTAAGTTACCCCGTTTAAAAATATACTTACTTTATATAAAAGTCAAGTGGACGGCCCGTGGGCCCATGTTCATTTGGAAATCACCATTCCCAACCCCGTGACTATAAGCCACGACAACTCCTAGAGTCCAACCCTAGTACATGACATTGTATTCTAGAGCTCGGCTCTACCACATCACCATACAATTCATATACCTCGGGTCAATTTCCTTACCTTGCGTTCTAGAGCTCGGCTCTACCACATCACCACGCAAGTCCTAGAGCTCGGCTCTAGCTATACAATACATAGACTCCAAGTCTACACCTTACATGCATTCTAGAGCTCGGCTCTACCACATCACCATGCATTAAGGTCCAATTCTCAAGCAACCCTATGCCTAGAATTGACATATCATTAAACTACCATGGGTCATCCTTAAAGACTTCCCATCACTTAACCTTAGTTCCATACTAAGTTATTATATACACTTGAACTACATTCAAGTACCTTTCATACAATCCAATCCCTAGGATCAATTTAATCAACAAGTTCCAATAATCACTAACTAGTATTCCAATACTATTAAGATTATTGTTATCGTACCATTATCCTCATTGTTTGTAATTCTCTACATATTTATAATTATGTAGCAGCAACTTAAGTATTCAATCTCAATACACAAATATTCATTTATGTATCCACATAATTCATACATGAGCAAAATGCCCATTTTCACAAAATAGTTCATTTATACTCATTTAATCTCATATTATTCATACTTTCTCAAATCATTCCAAATTCATTCTTTGGCAACTATATCAATATTTCATCAATATATAGTCATCATAATCCATGAAAAATCATGATTTAAGCATTTAGGTAATCTCATGCTTAACCTACAAGTTGTAAGCAATTAGATGTCAATCCTCACCTCAATTGAGCTTTAAACTTTCCCTTCTTGGTCCAATGGTCAAATCTTTGGTCAAGGTGGATTTGGGACTGATTCCTTGCTCAAATATGAGTGTTAAACAGCCTCCTCAAAGTGCTAGTTCAACCCTTAATCGTTGATATGAAAACAGCC